CGCGGTTACTCCCGAGCCGGCGTCTCCTTTCCCGCAGCGGGCACCGGAGAAGCTGCTCCCCGCGCCCCCCGGCCCAGGGTCAGCTCCCCCGGGCTGGCGGGGCTGTCTCGGCTCCGTCCCGGTGGCCGGGGGTGACCCCGCTCCGCTCGGGGTACCGGGCTCCTCCCGCCCCATTCCCGCATCCCGCAGGAGCCCGTGACCCCCCAAGGGGTTTGGGGGGCTCCTCTGAAGGAGGGTGAGGTTGTAAATGCACCATTCAGGTAAGGTAGTTCATACACGCCGGCGGTTCAATTTATTAAATTCACAGGTATTTCTGGAGATTGCCGTGGTTTTGAATTTGTGATCTTGGAAACCAAGTAAAATCGGTAGGATGAGATGCTCGAAGTGGGTTTTTAAGGAAGGAAAATAACGTTCCATGTGCTTTGAACAAATAAAAATTACATGCTCTGTGTTATCACCAGCCCTGTATCAAACCCTGCACAAGTCCCAGGCAGGACTTCCCAGGCAGGGGAACTGCTACATTTACACTGATCTTTCTCCCCTCCCTGGTTTGTGCTGCCGAACCCTCCGTCCCTCCTTGTTTCTGCCAAATGCAGAAGTGGTGTGTTCTGCTCCCACCTCCTGGGAGTTCACTTGCAGCAGTTTGTGCGAGTGGGGCTTTGTGGAGTTTGGATCAGTTGTCCCAGTCCAGCTGTGCATTCCCATTCATTGTTCCTTCCAGCGTGGGAGGGACAAGAGCCAGTTTGAACATACAGTTGGACATGACGTAACTGCATGGAATATAAATAGAAGAACAATGCCTGGTAAAAATAGGCATTTGTTTAAAAAAAAAAAAGTATGGAGAAATTCTATGCTTTAAGAGAATTTTCCTACAATCTTCAGAGAATTAATGGGATATTGGGACATTCTCATTGCACCTGCATGGATGCCAGATGCAATTTGGAGCCCACTGTAGTTTATTTCTGTTAGTGGATTGAATAAATTAATTTCATTCTGTCCATCTAATTTATTCTCTTAAATGGAAAAATCTTAGTGGGCTGTGTGGTCATGACAGAGGATTAAAAATAAAGAATATCTCATTTCACCTCTGTTCTGTCAGCAGCTGCTGTGTAGTCCTGGGTGGATCCCTTCATCCTTGCTAGCTCAGCTCCTGCATCAATGCAGAGGAAACTGCAACATGTTGCAGCCCCCTGAAGTTCTGGGATGCAGCAGCAGGAGGATGCTGCATGTGCAACACAGGTTCTCTTGGTCTTGGTGGAGGTGATGCCTGGGATTCTTCTGTCCTAGTTAAACAGTGCTCTCATTGAGATGGTGCTGGACTCTGAGGGCTTCTCCCCCTGTATTTTGTGCTTGGAAAACAAGTGATTTGGGTTGTGTCACTTCAGCATCCAAATCCTCTGATTTTCACGGCCCTTTGGCCTTGTGGACAGGGATGACCTTAGTGCTCCTGACATAATCAGCACTTTACCCACTTACCAACATCTGTTTGAGAATCGGATTTATCAGCTGTGAGGTGGAAACACTCCAAGTACTGTGACTGGCCAGCTCATGGACTCCCTGCTGGGGTCAGTCCTGGCAGCTGGGTGTGCTGGAAGGACGGGAGGAATGCTAACATTCCCTCTCATCCAGCTCAGGCTGGACTACCTTGCAAAACTTCCTCCCCTATTTGATCTTTGCCCCTCCTCTTACGCCCCACACACAGTCCCTGTGCCCAGCTCAGTGGACACAGAGCTTGGGTGGATGTGGTGCAAGGAGAGGAGGAGCCATGCTCAGAACCTGGAGCTCTGGGTACACAGACAAGTCAGTCCATTTTGGAGGAAATTCTGGAGTTCCCACATACACACAAAAGGTAAAAGATACTCAGGCTCTGGGTAGGACTTGCACAACAGAGAACTTCCCTGCTTTTGTTCTCCCTCAGCACAGCAGGAAAATCTACAGGAACACTTAGATAATGACCAAATAATTTGGAATCCTCCCTGCTGTGGTGGAAACCCAAGTGTCTGGAATGTCTGTGCTACCCTTTTCATTGATTATAACACAGTAAATGTAAGAGGAAAAAAAGAACCTCTCTGTCCTTTTAAATCACTGCAGGGAAAGGGCTTCAGCCTTGTCTTGGCACTAAAGAGCCTTCCTCAATTTTTTTTTTCCCTGAGAATTGGATGTTAAACTGATATTGGTATCTATGAAACAATATCCCTGCTTTGTGTCCTTATTGAAGTAGCTTCCAGTTTCTCAGTCTTGCAAAATTTCCAGCACATTAATTTGGCACAAATGATTTATAGCTGATGAGCAATTAAAGTACAATTTCTTTCAGCATCTCAGGCTTTGTGACTAGACTACTAAATGACTTTTCAAGCTTGCTTTATCATTACAGGATAGCAGTGGGATGAATTCACAGGAGAAATTTATTCCTCCTTGCAGACCCAGCATCTGCTCTTACTGCAAATTGGAGCACTGCTTGCATTCCCCAGATAATTTCCTCAGCATATCTTTTGTACAGTCTTTCTTTGGACCTACAAGAGAGCTTTACTCTGAATTTCAGTGACAGTTTACTCTGACATTACAAAGTCCTTCCAAAATACCTGTTCTGTCTGGAACCTTTGATGTAGGCTGATGCTCTGCTTAGACCTGTCAAGGTATTTCAAAACCAGGAGCAAACAAAACCTTTTTTTTTTTTTTAATTTTTATATTTGGAAGGTTAGCTCCCAGAGGCAAGTGTGGTGGAGAAAAATCAGATGAAAGTACTGGCTACAAAGAGTCCTCACCTCCAAGTTGTTTAAATGTCAGAGGATGACATTTAGCTAACCATGTCTTGATTCTGCTCTAATGGAGGTGGAAAGAACCAGAGTAGCTTCATGTAGACACTTCACCTTTCAGGAAAGGACATGACAGGTAGAGTTGTCAACCCTGCTTGGTTTTGGGAGGAACAAATAGCATGGAAATGAGCAGAAAGGGAAGGCAAAAAAAATAAAAATCAAGAGATCCAGTTCTGACTGTACAGCTGGGACCTATGCTGGGCTATTTGCTTGTAGGACCCTTGATGAACACAATTAAAACTGCAGTGACCATACGTGTGACAGGATTCTCTTCACTACCACCTAGTGGGAAACTCCTTCATAACCCAACTCCAGAGCTGCTCCTGCTCTCCAGCCTCATCCTGATGGTAAAACAGGGAGTAAATGTGGGGGGGAACCGATGGGTGACTGGGAAGGAGGACAGTCCTGCTTCCCCATACAGGTGGAGGAATATGTAGAGAGAGCCTGTAATTTAAACCCATTATCTCACTATGACTCCAAGCTCTGCGTCCAGCCCAGTTCCTAATGGTCGTTACACCTTCCTTAGTTTCAGTGAGACTCCCAAAGTTTAACAAATGTAAAGAGTAAAATATTTGTCCTTCTAAATGCAACTGAAACCTGCAAACAGTGGCAAGCAGAAACCCGGGGAGTTCCTCCAGTGTCTCAGTCAAAAGGCAGCCTTGCACCTTCTTGGCTCTGGAAGCTTTGGTTGCACTATTACAAGTGTGGAAGGAGGCACCAATGAAAAAACCCAGCTTCCTTCTGTGTAAAATCACATTTTTCAATTACAATCACATACTTACAACAAAAACTACTAAATTGGAACGTAAAAGGGTATATACTTGAAACATTAAAACTGTATTTGAGCGAGTCCTTCCTGCTGGGACACTCGGGGTTTGCACAAATCGCTGAAATCCAACCCCACGACAACAGCATGTAAATGACAATTCTCTCAGATTTTTCACACTCCTGTTTGCCTTTTGGGACTGAGCTCCCAAAGCACAAATAATCACCAGTTTTGGTACTTGTGTAGCTTTCTTCCCCCCAATAACAGAAATGAGGGTGAGCATTATCATAATAGCTCTCACATTTCAAGGAGGGATTATGTTAATGTCATTCAGGCCAGGAAAGCATTTAGCAGTCTCAGCAGGAAGAACATTAAAATGGTAAAGAATTATTAATAGAACCATTTCTCTGTGTTTCTTTTGCCAATGGCAATTTTACCACCCTATTCAGGGAACTACACAGGCTCCCTCTGGAAGCACTTCTATCATAAATACATTTAGGTTTTTTCCCTTCTCTGTATTCTCCTTGAAGCCACATTACACTGGCTTTATCCCAGCAAATTACTGTATTTTTCATCATGTACACTTAATAGTAGATATTATTCAGTAAATGAAAACATCAGAGGTAAAAATGGTGTTGACAAGAAGCCAGGCATTGGGAGCCTGCTCTGCCCTCCATGCTGTTCACAGCACTCTCCTGTCTCTTACTGGGGCTTTGCCCAAGTGCAATAACCAGAATACAGACCAGTAAAATATAAGAGTAATGTTCCTGTTGTGTATCCATTATACTTTGATGCAGTTGTTTTCAGTGTTAGTAAGTAATCTATTTAATTAGTAATTCAATATTACATGTAAGGCAGCAGGGATTAATTTGGAACACTTAATCAAGGCAGACTATTATTTACCAATAAAATAGAATTTCATTAGAGGAGCTCATGACATCCTTGCCTAGAAGGATATTGGAGAATGCTGGGAAGCTAGTTTTGTAAAATAGCTGTCACTGTATTTTCACACTGTCTGCTACTTCAGGAGAAGAAAATAATTCTTTAAAAATGCATTGGAGTTATATTCAAGTGTAGTAGGAGAAAACAAAGTGTTGAACATGTTTAAATAATCTTTATTAAACTTGCCATTAAAATAAAATAGAAATCAGACTTCTTGTGATTACTGATATATTTTTCCAATCTGCATCCAAACTGATTTGTTAATGTAACATTGTTTGTGAGCTTGCTATTAAACTGACCAGATTAGTGCTGTAAAGCTGCTTATGTCTTGTCAAGAAACACTGAATTTAAGGGGTCTCAACCACCAGATTAATTACACCTAAGGAAAAACATTCTGCAGGGGAAAAAATACAGAACCAAATACTGCAAACATGAGGAAAACAAGCAGGTCTCACTCAGTGTCTCTGAATTTTTAAAAGTCTCCACTTGCACATTAGCAAGATCACATTAATCAGAGTGACCTGAGGATCAAGCCATGGCCTGGGAAATTGCTACAGTTCAGGAAATCAACATGTCCTAAGCACTGGTAACAGATGAGGATGGGTTAGCAAACCCGAGACCCCTTATTTCAAATATTCATTCTCAAGGCACAACCCTTGAGCACAACTCAGTTACAGGAGAACATTGGATTATGGCCAGACTCTGCAACTGAGCTCTTGCTCTACTACTAGAACTAGAATCTAACTGGTAAAAGCTCTGCAGCTTCCACCCTTGGCCTCTGCTGTTCTCATCACCTCACAACTGCACATCACAGCACTGGGAAATAGGATACTGCAATCCTTAGTGCCAGGGTGTAAAATAGGGATACTGGCTAATTTGCAGCAGGAATCCCTTCCATTCCTTAAATCTGTAACATTTAAGAAACACTGAAAAGCTCACTGGTTTTCCTGCACTGAAGAATCTGAAATACTTAAAGGAGTGCTGAACCATTCAGTGGCACAGCCTGGCAGGTCCCGGTCAATGGCAAGATCAAAGTGGGTAAGTTTGCTGGTTCTTTTGCTAATTCCCCAGGGTCCTGCAGTTTAAAATGGACAATTCTAACAGACCAAGGGAAAAAGCCCTTCAGGATAAAGTGACAGAGAATATTTACCTCCTCCTTAGTATTTGAAAGGTTTCCATATTCAGTTCTCCACGTGGCATCCAGTTGTAGCGTTCAGTGAGGTCCCAGCATAAAAACAGATGTTCACTTCTGGGTTTATAGACTTCAAAGTTCACTGGTTTCAAAAAAAAGCCTCTGCAGCTGAAGGTCTCCAAGGCAAGCAGAAGCAGCAGCATCAGGACTTCTGTGTGTATAAGGAATCCTTGAAACCACACAATATAGACAGATAATTTGTTGCTGTGCTTTCTTCTCTTTACAACTTCCACTGACAAATATTGCTGTTCTTTGTTTAAACTTAATGGTCTGTGTCCCCATTTCCCCTCCAGCATTCAACAGGTTTATATACTTACAGAATATAGATTGGGCAATCTTTTAAACAGAACACTGCTAATATTTTCCCATCTTAGTTTAGGTAAAAGAAATCACCATGCCAAAGAGAGGCAGAAATAAGTAACACAGTGTGACAGTGTCTCCTCTGTCACATATTGCAAGAGCTCCACAATCTGTTGTCTCTGTTTGCAAAGTCCTTGAATTATAAGGACAGATCATGCAGAAACTATAATGTCATGGTAGGACACGGTAATTAGAATTGACAATTACAGTTATCAGCCAGTAATTGTTGGCATGTCTGGCAGGGGCAGGGGGGAGGAATAAAGGGAAACAAGATAACAAATGAAATGCATGGAAACGTGTCAAAACATTGATAGGACAGTGCCAAGCTCACCATTCATTTCTTCCCTGTTGAGAGCGTGACCAAAAATAAAATATTTAGAAGCTAAACATGTCTTTTTACATTAATGCTCACGTGAAAATTTCTTACATTACATGTTTTTATGTGGACTCCGAACTGTTACATCTCTTTAGCCACACAAAGAAAGTCTTCTGTGTCCATCTGAGCTTTGTTAACGCCCTGCAGGGAGGCCACGTGGTGCTCTGGGTGCAGACCATGTCTGAAATAAAAGCCAACAGTTACACCAGTCCCACCCCAGCGGGCTGTGCCTGGAGGGAGGAGGGTCCTGTGCTGCTCCTGCTGACTCAGGAGCCTGGAAAGCACGGGTGACGGTGCCCACAAAGGGAAAACAGGGGACAAGGTCCTCTGTGGCATTGTCTTGGGCCATTACCCAGTTTGGGGACAGCTGTACCAGGCTCCTGTAAGCTTAGGTTTGATGGGAGTGTGTAGACACAGGCAGCTGCCCCCGGGAAGCCTCCATTGAGACAACACCTTTAAATCCTCCAAGGAATCACTCTCATGAGACACTCCTGCATCGAGGCCACGTGTGCACACCAAGTTATTCCCTAATTTAGCCACTCAAAGTAGATAGATTCATTCATATCATTTCAGACCAGAAAAGACAATGTAGTCATAAGAAGAGAGCTGCAGAACTGGAGAACTGCATTAAGTGACTCCAGCTGAGCCAGGGATCGTGTTTTAGGAAGTCACCCAATAGGTGGGAGCAGAACCTCAGAGCAGGACTGGTATCAAGAGGGGATGGAGGAAGATGATAAATGGGAACCACAAGCCTGCCCAGAGCACTCATCAGAAGCAGAGGGCAGTTGATGATAGGACAGGGATTTTGAGCATGAACCAACACCCAGGGCTATTCCTTATCACATCCTTCAATCACAGGCTCAGAGGGGCAAGGCCTGAAATCCCCCGAATTATGTGGGAACACTCCTCTTGCTCATCAATTAAGCAATAAACATAGCAAGTTAAAATGAAGGTACTAGTGTCTGCATATCAAGATACCCAGCAAGCCAAAACCAGAGTGAAAAAGTCACTTAAGACTCGATGCTCTGCCACAGAATTCAGCTGGAGCTCCAGAACGTCCTGTGAGTCTTGGGAACGTTCACATAGACCCCACGGTCACACTCGTCTGCTGGGGGTGGCACAAAGGCCAGGGAAGCTGCCAGTGTGGCTTTCTCTCAGCCCAAAGGGCTCAGACTGGCTGAACTTCACCACTGCCAGAGCTCCGAGCGGGCTCTGCGATATTCCAACAGCAGCACCTTCTCCTGAACCACGCGCAGCCCAACGCGGCTCTTCCTTCTGGGCACTCCACCTTCTTCCTTCTCCAAAACTACTGGGGCCAGAAGAAAGCCATGCCTTTCCATCTTCCTGGTTTTCTTTCCATAGCTCACTTTTCCATGCTGCAGACCTCCTATCCTTCATTTTCCTCGCCTGCTTCCCTCCCTTTCCCCCTCCCCCTGCTTTCTCTCCCTCTGCACTTTGTGAACTGCTGCGGCGGGTGCTGAAGTCCAAAGTTCAGTAACTTGCTAAGCACACAGATAAATATGAACCTTGGAGAATTTACATTGCTCCAATGTAAACAGATAGCCAAGGGTCCCTTTATCAGCACTGGCTCAGGACAGTCGTGGGGGGTCTGAAGTGGCTCAATTTTGTATTTTGTTTTTTTTGGGGGGGCGCAAAGGCGGGAGGCTGCGCTGTGCCCACTCTCCTGACAGTCGGGCGTGTTACCTCAGGAACATGGTGTAGGGAAGCTGGAAGCAGGATAACCCAAAATCCAAGAGGCACCAGGCTGAAGACCATGGTGTCGAAGCTGAGCCATCTCCAAGTGGAGCTGCTGGGAGCACTGCTGGAGTCGGGGCTGACCAAGGAGACCCTGATCAAGGCGCTGAGCGAGGTGGAACCCTACGGGCTCCAGAGTGAAAGTCAGCGCGCCATCAATGCCCTGCAGACAGAGAAAGGGGAGCCCTGTCCCGACATCCCCAACCTCCCCAACGGCATCGGGGAGTCCAGGTTATCGGAAGATGAAACCTCCGATGACGGGGAGGAATTTACCCCTCCAATAATGAAGGAGCTGGAAAACTTGAGCCCTGAGGAGGCTGCTCACCAGAAGGCTGTGGTGGAAAGACTATTACAGTAAGGACAGATTTACTGCTCCTCTTTGCTGTTTTCTTGCACTCTCCCTCTAAATCTCTTCTCCTTTCCCCTTCTGCTCAGTTCCCTAGTGTTCAAAGTTGATCTACCTGCACAGAGACAGCCTTCATCCATGGCAGGACTAGCAGCCCCCCAACACCCCCAGATTCTTTATAAATGCTCAAATTTTCCTTTCACCTCACTTAAATGCATGAAGGAAGCCATGGAGCTTGATTCAACGTGCTTATAGCATCAGGCTCCAGTATAGTCCAAGGCCTGTAAAACCTGCATCTCTCTGACTGAATGTCAAGGTTTAGAATTTAATTTTTTTAATAGGATTCACAATTTCAGTCATCAGGAAAAAAAAAAAAAATCGGTCACTCTGAGCTGGTGCCACATTTGCCTGAGGATGTACAGCAAGGTGAATTTGTAATGTTTCCCTGCTGTATTTAAGGAGATTAATACTGTTAATTTCACTGGGGTTTGATGTAGATTATTGGGCAAAGACAAAGCAAGAGAACTCGTTCTGAGTGCAAAGTTCCCTGACTTCAGTGGGGATTTTTCTTGTAAAAAGAGCACACACCAAATACATGCAAAGGTTAAAACCTGGACAGAACACTCTGCTTCTACCATCCACTGCCTATCACAGATACAAAGGACACACACAGCAACAACTACAGCTTTCACTGCCACACAAATCTGCCTTTGCAAAAAGCATTTTTGAGATCAAATGACAGAAAAAGTTCTCTGAACCAATAAGCCTCACAATAGACTCAAACATTCTCCAGGTTTCCCATTTGGGATCCTCACTGAGATTACAATTCCTATGGGTGACCCAAGAGGGTTGTCCAAGCAAGGATCAGGTCCATCCTACCATCTATCACAGCAGATTCTTGCCTGTTTTGGGGGTATTTTGAAATGACAAGGAGATAGAAAACAAAGAGATGAAGCAACATCCTGCATTTAAAATCTTCACTGAAAATCCATCTAGAGAATTTCTCAGGCTTTCTGATCACTCTCTTTCACGTGCAGAGGAAATCAACAGAAAATGTAACAGCATAAGAAAACATCAAATCCCACCAGGAAAGGCCAGAGCTAGAAAAACAGCATGACAAGAGGCAGCATTTGCTGTAAATTGCTTAAAAAACCCTCCCTGGCAGACTGGGAGTTGATGACTCCACAGTACCCAAGAGAGGAAAATTCACTGGGTCAGCTCTTACCTGGGTGGGGAAAGCATTCCCAATAATTCAGTCTTCTTTCTGGCCCAGTATGTCTCTCATTTCTTTCCCACTTCCAGCTCTGTCCCATCTTTTAGTCTCCTCTGTTCCCTTTATCTCTTTCAAACCCTTTTTACCTATTTCCCTTCTCTCCTCACTTTTGTCTCTGCTGCTGTTCCTCCCATTTTGTTGTCTCCTTGGCTGATTCTCTCTCTGCCTCCCACTCTTTCCTTCCCTTCATCCTTGTCTCCTTCTCATCTTCCCGAGTCTGCGTACAGGTCTTGGGGTAGTTTGAGCCCAGTGGCACCGGGCGGGCCCTGGCTAGTTACTAATTATCCAATGGCTTTATTATTTCTCTTTTGTCTTATAAATTTATAGATGAAAAGACCCTGATAAGCTTTTTGATCATTAACTTCTGATGGTTTATCAAGTATCTCTCCACAAAGGAAGCCATGGAAGCTGCAGAAGCCCCCCTGGCTTTGTCCCTTTTCCTGTAGGGAGTGGGTGAAGCAGGACTCAAGTGCCATCTGCTGTGATCCGAGAACAGACACAGGGATGGAGGGAATCCCTTCCTGCCACCCTCACTTCAGCACCAGTTCTGGCTTCTGATCCTCCCTGCCTTTCTAGGATCTTGCTGCCAGTGTGTCCTGTGCTTACTTTCAGCCTCACCACAAGTCTTACCTCTCTTGCAACCCCGTCATATTAATTATTAATACTTTCTGATGAACAGTCTCACAGCTGCCTCCAGACAGTCCATTGAGCAGCATTCCCATTTCAAAAATGGGAACTGAGGTACAGACAAATTCTAGGACCTACCTAAACCCCTGAGACAGCATGCAGAGGACTGAGGAAGGACAGGGATCTCCTAAGCCTCACACTGGGTCTTAATTCCAAAAGCTTTACCCTGAAACATCTGAGTTCTCTGTCATCACTCCCCCCATCACAGGATAGAGCAATTCCCTTCTGCTGTTAAGGGCAGTATGAAGGCACCAGAAGCCTCAGTGTCAGCAAAAAATTACAAGTATACTTATAGAGGAATATAATAGGTCTAAATTAATCAAGGTGAAGTGAAAACAGCAGGAAGTCTGCATTGACATGTTTCAAATTTCTCATCAAAGTGACATTGTGTCTGAGAACTCATTCAAGCAGCTGAACCAGTATCAGGGGGTGAGAATATCTAAGAAATTGTCACTTACAAATAAACTTTTTTTGGTTTTAAGATGCCTAAAAGTAATGTCCTTAAAATAGTGTTAAAGAACCTTAAGGCAGGGCAGAACAGTCTATAATAGAAATTAGTCCCATCAATAGATAAAAGAGAAGAAGGCAAGAATCTCCATGCCCAGGGAATCCCAATAAAAGGTCAATGCTTGCAAAGCTATTTAAGCATCTACACAAGGATTTCAAATACAAAAAACTGATGGAGGCACTTCTGCTTTTAGAAGCCTCTTTGGGCATTATTAATTCCTGGCCTAGTACTGTAGGCCAGATTTTAAGAGAGACTGACTCGTGGCAGCTATTGCTGATACAAGAAATTCTTTGTGGTAACTTCAGCCATTGCTTATAAAGTAGAATCAGGAAAGTGTCCATTGTTAGGCTTTCCAGGAATTGGAAAGGGAAAAAATGACAGTACCAAGGGAAAAAACGTCAGTGCAGGACCACTGATGTTGAAAGCACAGTTTGGAAAGCTCTAGTCAAAGCTGAGTAAAACAGGATGTAGAGAAGATACACCCTGGTACACTGGGTGCACCTATGGGTGTTGATTAGATCTTGCTCCCACAGACAAAACATGCTAAAGGCAGTTCAGATATTAACAGGTGAATTAACATATTTTCATTTTGTCCCTTCATATGTTTCACTGATCTTCTGCAAATTTACAGTTTGAATAAAAACATTCTTCTCATATCAATCCACACAGAAAACTAATTGCATCTGTGATAAGAAATAAATGACTCAGTAGGGAGTTTGAGCTGTGTGGAGAAACTCCCAGGTATTCCCAGAGTAGAAAGCAAGAGAGAGGCTACCTTGGGGGAAGGGACAGATCATACAGCTGCAGGTAAAGCAAATGGAGAGAGGAATAGCAACAATCCACCTGTAGGGCAAGGGGTGAAATTCCATTAGGAAAGAAAGAAATTGAGATAAGCTACAGATTTCCCCTGGAGGCAGGGATAAAAGTGTGTTTTCCAGGAGGAAAAAAGAAAACAAAGACATATAATGATAAAGGTTCAGTCTTCCCCTCACCTTAGAGTGGCTCTAGCTGGGGAATCTGGAGATGAAGCTGCCACACCCCTTTCATTTCCACATATAAACCAAGATGAGGCAAACCAGGCCAAGTTCAACAGAAAGGAACTGCTGGGATGGATGGTCTTACCTTCCCTCTGTGCCCAGCCCGGCTCCAGGCTGTGCAGGGCTTGCAGCTCCTGAGGAAAGGGTCAGAGGATGGTCCTGAGCACTTCGCAGCTCTGAACCTCTGTTTGAGCAGGGTCTGGTCCAAGGCAGCAATTCAGAACCCACCTCGGGGAAATGAAGGCTTCTCTCACCTGAGAATCTGAGAACAGGAAAGAAGGAGAGACAGAGAGAATGAGGAAAAGGAAGGGAAAGAAAGGAACAAAGGAGAAAGAAAAAGTCAGGAAGAGCGAAGGAGGGAGAAGGTCCCCTGAATGTTACATCTCCAGCTCTCTGGAATGGGTTTTCTTTAATGCTAACAACTTGATATTTACTTTCCATTTAAATTTGAGATGTTGCTATAAATTATCAACCAGCCTCTTGTTCCCTTTGAGTTTATAACTAACTACCTGGGTTACTTATTGTTCAGGTAACAAAAGGGAGGTGAAAACGCCCTTAAAAAGTGACCTCAGAAGTAAGAAAATGGGAAGCTGACATGGAGAGAGGACCCAGGCCCCTGTGGTGGGGATGAGTCATGGAGAGGGGCTGTGCTCAGATGGCAACAAGCAACTGAGAGCAGGAGAGCAAGACCTCAGGAGAAGTCAAAAGTAACTGCGTGAGAAGAATTTGGAGACAGAGATTAGACCCTGGAGAACAAGAGATGAATGGGGAGACTCTGCATCCGGGGAGAAAGGGAAGCTAAAAGGCAGAAAACAGGCTTGGACATAGGGAAGGAGAGCTTAAGTAAGGCAGACCCATTTCTGCAGTTCTGACTCACAGAAGCAATTGAGAGTTCAGTGTAACTACAAGCAGGAGAACCAGGTTTAGAGTGAAATCCTCCCCTCTGACAGTCCATGACAATCTTATGGCCAGTGAAAGAGCAAAGGTTTCAACTTACGATATCTTAGCCAATGGTGGAGGCTCTACAGGTGGAACTGTGTATTTGGGCAATGGTTCACAAGAGGGTTCAGCTGACCAGACTGTCATCACTTGTACTCTGGTGTAGCCTTGGCCTGAAGGATTGCTGCACTGACATCACAGACTGGGATGATACAGAGTAGCCAGGAGTTCATACAACTGTCCCAGGAAATCACACTGTTCTAAGATTCCCTGCACTGCTTTGCCTCACAAAGCTCCCTGCTTTGTCCAAAAGTAGACAAAAAACACAGGGCTTTAAGCACTGAGAGAAGAGACTCAGACGCTTCCTGCTTTATTCCTACCACAGAGGAGTGAGGATCTCAACGGGGAGACAAAAGTGTCTCATGATTGGGGTACAGAAAGGAACCAACATGTAACAGAGGCTTCCATCAGTGGCAACAAAGTCTTTCCTCTTCCCAGCCAAGCCAGAACTCAAATCTAAGAGACCAGGTTCCCAGAGTCTTTTCTCCTCTATATAGGGACTTATACAAGGAGTGCAGGGTGCAGGTGCTGGCTAGACTATCACAGAGGGAAGAGATTGATTTAGGTAGCAGAAGTGAAAAATAAAACACACTGAGGAAAGAAAAGCTTTCATAACTTCAGCCAAATGTGAGGCTTTTGAAAGACAAAGATGGTTAAGGGAAGAAGCTGAAAAACAGAAGCCTCTATGGCAAGTGTTCCATTGTAAAAGAGAAACAAATGTTCTATTTTAAGCAGGTTCTTCAGAAAGCTGTAGCTGGCACTGTTTCTGTCATACTTTAACTGCTGTGGAGCTGCTCCTTGGACTATCAGCCATTGGGAGGCTGCAGGAGAAGAGAGATAAGGCTGTTTGTACTGAGAGAACAGGTGTGGACTTTGTCCTCCTTATCACTTTGCAGCCTCCGGCAACCTCCTGAGTCAACAGAGCAATGAGCAGCACAGTTGGTGCCTGTTGCTCAGACATATGTGTTCTTGTGACAGTTTCTGCACAATCCTAGGTACCTTTTTTCTCCCCACTGCTCCTTTGATGCTGGTGTTGAATGTGACACCACTGTCCTTCCACAGCAAGCAAACCAGTTCCTCCAGACCTTTCACATAGAAGGCACAGAAAGATGCTCTTGTTGAAGTGAGCCAGGGGTTTTCTGCAGGGAGGCTCCTGCACTGTTTGGACTCACACTGCCTGCTTTCACATCTTTATTGCTACTGTGACTTTCAGCTCTGGTGAAATTAATACACACAACAAAGTCACAGTCATGTTTTCTCTGTTTTCCTTAGGAACCTCCACGGATGTTCTAATTAATTAATTGGAGATCATAAAACCCAGAGATTCACATAATTGTAAAATCCCAAATCAGGTTAGCTTCTCAAGTTTTGTGTGCAGGTCTGAAGCAGGTCTATTCCCTCAGCTGTTACTCCAAAGGAGAGTGGCAATAGGAGGAATTGGTGGTTTGCCTGTTGTTCTTTATTGCATTTAGAAGCTCCAAGGGGCTCTAGGTGTGAATCACTGTGTTTGAATAACACATAGCAGATGTGTAAGAACATAATCCTGGGTGACTTGTCACATACATATGCATACAGAGCTGTCACATCACAGGATAATGACAGCCCACTTCCATTTCCTGAATTATTGCAAGGCAACCCAACCTGGACCAGAACGAGGGCATGAGCTGGGTTCAGCCTAATATCACAAGCAATCTGTCTTAGAAGATTTAGTACATCCACCCCAAGCATCTATGCCTTAAAGAGAGGGGGATAGAGAAGAAAATTTATGTAGGGAAAGGGAAGAGAAAGGTTGCCTCTGAAAAGAGATCTGTAGTCACAGAACATCTATCTGAATACTGAAATGCAACATCACTTCCCTCCTCGTACCATTCCTCATTAGCAGAAAAAGTGCTTTAAATCCACAGTACTTGCCAGCAGAAAGGTCCATTCCTTGCTCACATCACTGGTCAGCACTTTCTGTCATCACAGATGACAATTGCCTAGAGAGAACAGCCCAAACCGTGCATGAAAATGAGCCCAGACAGCAAAGATCGTGGCCATGTACTGGGAAAATCCCTTGGTAACTGAAGAGCCTCCTCCTAAGGGGAGATCAAAGTACCTACAAAGAGCAGTTCAAAGGAAGCCAGTGCTACATCTTCTGCACTTTATTTCCAGTGCCCTGCAGTTCTCACCCTGAATGCAGAGTTCAAACTGAACGAGGCACCCCACTGAGGAACTGAGCTTTCCCTCCTGCAGCCAGTGAACACTCTGGCCTCACCAAACATGCTGGTGATGACAGGCAAGGTGCCCCTCAGGAGGTACCAGTGCACTTCCTTGGAATCCAGGTCTGCTGAGAGCAGGTGTTTGATCTCTCTCCCCTGAGAAGTGTTTTCTGCTCCTTGCAGAGAGGATCCCTGGCGAGTAGCAAAGATGGTGAAATCCTACCTCCAGCAGCACAACATCCCTCAGCGTGAGGTGGTGGACACGACTGGCCTGAACCAGTCCCACCTCTCACAGCACCTCAACAAGGGCACTCCCATGAAGACCCAAAAACGGGCAGCCCTGTACACCTGGTACGTCCGGAAGCAGCGGGAGGTGGCCCAGCGTAAGTACAGCACCAACTGTTCTCCTCTCTCCACCTCATAAAGGCCTCTGCTCTCCCTGGATCACCCTAACTCCCTATTCTTTCCAAGGAAAAATGGAAGCAAAAGCCACTTTTAGCAGGTAGCTTAGAGAAGTCTAGGTCAGTACTCAGTGGTGAGGTGAACGAAACAGGACATGGGAAATCACTCCCCTCATACAGCAGTGACCCACCTCCCTCTCTGGCTGGCTAAGGAGCAGCCACCTAATGCTCCCTGTTTGCAGTTAGAGTTCTACATCCATCCTCAGACTAAAGCAGGGTAGTGGGCAGAAGACAGAGACAGAATTCCTGCCCGAGAGGAAACAGCCTCAAGTTGCACCAGGGGAGGTTCAGATGGGATATTAGGAAAAAATTCTTCGCCAAAAGGGTTATTAAGCACTGGCACAGGCTGCCCAGGGAAGTGGTAGGGTCACCATCCCTGGAGAGATTTAGAAGACATGCAGATGTGGCACTTGGGTGGATTTGGCAGTGCTGGGTTAATGATTGGACTCGATGATCCTAAAGATCTTTTCCAACCTAAATCATTCTATGATTCTATGCCTTCTCTAAACTCAGCTGAATCTGCTTTCACTACTCCAAGGTGGGAGCAGAGATGCAATGCACATGAGAGAACCATCAGGTAAAGATGGTCCTGCTAGAAACATCAGTTTTAGCAGATTATGGTACTTTATTTCCACTTTATTTAGATTCAACCCTCTGTCTTGTACAAGATATTCTCCAAGGGTAAGCTGCATTGGGCCTGCTAGGCACCCAAATAGACAGAACTATTGGAAATGCTTCCAAAAAGCCAACACCCTTGCCCTTCTGTGCCTGCAGAATTCACACATGCTGGCCAGGGTATCCTGACAGAGGAGCCCATGGGAGATGACCTGCCCACCAAGAAGGGAAGAAGAAACCGCTTCAAGTGGGGTCCTGCCTCCCAACAGATCCTGTTCCAAGCCTATGAAAGGCAGAAAAACCCCAGCAAAGAGGAGAGGGAGGCCCTGGTGGAAGAGTGCAACAGGTAAGGGTGGCTGTGTGGCTTTGAGGAAGGGGGCACAGCAGGGCCCCTCTGTGTCCTGGTGAGAGGCAGGGCAAGGGCACAGCAGTGGGTGTCACCACTGACACCAGCCACGCTGGAGTGAAATGCCACAGCTGAGCATTCCCTGTGCACAGAGGACAAGGAACACCTCCTGTCTTGCTGTATCAGGATCACACAGCACAGTGTGCCAGACCCCAGCCCCTTTGGGGCTGTGCACTTACTCTGTGTCTCCAGCTAAGCCCAGCTCAGCAAGGCTGTCCTTGTGCTTTCCCCCAACAGGGCAGAGTGTATCCAGAGGGGTGTTTCCCCATCTCAGGCCCAGGGACTGGGCTCGAACCTGGTGACAGAGGTCAGAGTTTACAACTGGTTTGCCAACCGCAGGAAGGAGGAGGCTTTCCGGCACAAGTTGGCCATGGACACCTTCAGTGGACCCCAACCCACCTCTGGCCCCCCCCTCACTCCTCACAACTCCTCTTCCCTCCAACCACCAGCTGCTCTCTCACCCACCAAAGTTCACGGTAAGAAGCAACCAGAGGGAGATCTGAAAGAGGGGGTGAACCTCCCCAAAGCCAGTCACCAAAACCGTCTCCCACATCCACCCCTTTAGGAGGTGAATCTACAGACAGAAAAAGCAGACTTGCTACAAGGGAAGAGCACAGGTGGCAAAGAGCCCATGTCTGTGAGTGAGGAGAGTGGCTAGAATGGCAAGGGTGACAGAGTTCAGTAACAAAGCTCACAGCCAAAGCTGTCACTCACTGTGACATCCTGCTCTCCCTCCCAGATGGCAGGCAGCAATCCCCTTTGGAGGAGTCATCCCTGCCTGCTGTCAGAAATCAGCTCCATATCCTTTCACTTGTGTGCCCCTTTCTCCTTCCAATACCAGCCCCATCAAATTTTTTAGGATCAGGAAAGGTCGTTCTCCATCCAAAAAGAGCAGAGCTTTTTCAGCTTCACAGGCCAGAGCTGGGAGTTGCTCTTGCTCTGGGAAGAGATGTTCTCACCACAACTCTCCTCTTTACAACCACATCCAGCAGGGTGGTTTCCAGTGAACCCTGCTTGCTCCCTGCAGCACTCACAGCCAGTCAGTATTTGAGGAAGCAGCTGCACCAAGTTCCAGAGGAAAGCCAGGGCAGGGTGTGAGAAGGCCTGTTCTTCTGGTTCCCCTACTACCCATTAAGTCCCTGCCCAAACATCTGGAGGCAAGTGCCTGCAAAGGAAACTCCATTTAGCACCTGCCAAAGTTTCCTCAGTTTCTCATTTTTGACAACCAGTTTCCCTCCTGTTGTGATGCAGGAGTGAGGTACAACCAGCAGCCAGCCAGCGAGGCAGAGTCCTCCAGCAGCAACCCCCACGGGAACAGCTCCATGGTGACCACCCAAACCATCCTGCACCAGGTTTCTCCCCCGGGACTGGAGCCCAGTCAGAACCTACTGAGCACAGACACTAAGCTGGTAAGTGATGGATGCTTCAGTTCTGCTGACTGGAGGACATCAGCTCTGCTGACTGTGGTCACAATGTGGACTATTCAGAAGTAGTTTTTCCCAGGATGTTCTTAAACCCACATTTTTGTAGAGATACTACAAAGTCACTTTGCACTGACCACATGAGATCAACAGTCCTGAGACACAAGTGCCCTCTAAACTGCAGTGAGGGCAGGAATTAGAGCATGAAAGCAAGAAGCCGTTTCCTTTATGAGCAATCAAAACAGCCTATTCTGAAAACACAGCACTCAAGGTATGACATGGTTCCCTTCTTCCCAGAAAACCCTGTTCTCTCCTCCTTTCCACAGTGAGATTCTCACCTCATCTCCAACTCTCATCTGAACTCAACACATCTCAAGATAGTTGATCAGACCAGTGGGATTAACAGGACACAGAACCACACCTACATCTACCTTACCTGTGAAAATTAAGCCCAACAGCCTGTATGCAGACAGCACTGGATATGTAGATTGCAGCAATCCACCTTCTCAAAGCCAATTTCCTTTTGAGGTCTGATTACACCTTTTCCCACATAATTAGCAGTGAAGCACTAGAACTACATGACTGATCATTTCAGATTGCACATGTTCCCTTGCTTACAGAGAAACAGTTGGCAGAAGTTTGCATTAGTGCAAGTTGCCCTGAGGCAAAGTTAAGGTCACTAAAAATGAGTATGATTTAAATCCCATCAGTCACTCACTTTGCTGCTTTCTGGTCTCTTGCTGAAGAAAATGTGTCTTTTATGAGGTCCTGGAAATCTTCTACGTCTGTCTTCTAAAACTGATATCAAGGTGGTTTGTCCCACTGTTTAACCTCGGGGTGTTTATTCTTACTAAAGGTTCCTTACAGCTTTTTGTCTGAGGGGAGAGAAAAAAAAGTATAATATAAAGCATTGAACTTTCTTTATCAGCCAAATTATTAGAATGCTTTTTTGCTCTTCCACAGTACTTTGATTACAGGTCTCTAAAGGGCCTTGCAAACTCAAAACCCCACTGGAGCATAGACACAGGTTACGTGGTTCATTTTAGAGGCTGAGAAAACAGTCAAGTTATTAAATTTCTCAAAGACAGACTGAATCAGCAAGGCACACAAACACAGAACAGTCCTGTTCTATCTAACAGGTACTTCTCCTCTCTAACAGCAGGGAACTGCCATGTAACACAGCCTGAAAAATACACTGTGTGACAAAAATAGTCTAATGGGACTTATCAGCAAGTCCTTTAAAATCGCAGTCACTGGCCACTAACAGACACTTGCAGGGAGAAAGGGAAATTACAGGCATTTCTTGGGGAAAAAGGTGAACAAGAGAAGAGGAACTCCTGCATTCTGTGCTGAACTCTGCAGCTAGAACTACTGTGTACCCAAGCCTCTTAATTTCTCTGAGCATCACCTTCTACCCTCGGCTGTGAAAGATATTCTTTCTCTAAAAAGAATGCACCAGGCCTAACCTCATTCCTGTTTGAAAAATCCTGATGATTTCTTAAATGTGAAAGAACTAGACTCTCAGTTTACTCTCAGTATGTCAACAGCTGACTTGTGCTAGTTAATTGAGCACAGGGAAACTGCAGACAAGCAAACGTGAAGCCTTCCTAGTCAGCAAGGGGTCAGAGCAGGCAGGAAGAAAGGGAGGATGTTTCTCACAGCCTTGGGACTCCCCAGCCTGCTGCAGGTGGCATGTTTAGGGTTCTCCTTTCCCACAGGTGTCAGCTCCTGGAGGAACCCTCCCTCCTGTCAGCACCCTGACTGCCCTGCACAGCCTGGAGCAGAGCCCACACGCCCTGAGCCAGCAGACCCAGAACCTGATCATGGCATCCCTGCCGGGCGTCATGGCCATCGGGGCGGGCGAGCCCCCGTCCCTGGCACCCGCCTTCACCAACACCGGAGCCTCCACCCTGGTCATCGGTGAGTTGTGCCCTGCCAGGAGTCACACAAAGAGCTGCCTGTCACTCCTGCAAGCACCTGCCCCACCTCCAGAGGCAAAGGCACTAAGCTGGCAGTGACACACGAGAGGAAATTGTCACTAAGGATCTTCAGCAGCACTGGGTACTTGCAGGTTCCAGTGGGATTAAGGGGCAGATGTTCCTCACGTTAGAATTACATTACACACAAACCCACGTCTTCAGAGTAAAGGGAATTCTGCAATCTATTCCTATGCCAATGTTTTGGTTTGCTGCTCTTCGTCTTCCCAAATATAAATTTAATACTTCCTTAGAACTATGAAAATTGAAGCATGTTCATGGTGCTTGAAAGACAAAACATACTGTTCCACTTCCTGCAAAGAGCAGCATATGCCTTTGGAATCCACAGTAATTACTATTTTTTTATATTTTCCACTTTAACAGCTTTTCTGGACTTGTATGAGATTTCTTTTCATTCCAAGACTAGTCTACTGCCAAAGTACATCTCATTAGATACTGGAAAATAAAATGTATACTCTCCTCTTACACTTTCTTCCTAGGAAGAAAGAGGCCTTATTTTGCTCCATGGTGACAGCTCTGAATTAATTTCCATTTCCACTTATACCTCAGATTATGATATGGATTCAAATTCTGTGCAAACAAAAAACATAAAATTGGAGTGCTGGAGAGACTTGTTGATTTACAGGAATAGGATTTGAACAGTTGTGGGAAAAGGGCAGTAATGTGTGAAACCTTCTACCTGACACAAGTTCCATAATTTGGCAGCCCTAGCAAAAAGAGGTTAAACTCCACTCCATGTGGCTGGATGGTTACAGTCTAGTTCTGGTGCCAAGAGCTTCATAAAAAAAAAGAGTAAAATTAACTGGGCACTGAAATGATGCTCTGAGTTTACTTCTGAGCAAGGCCTCCCCAGTGGACCTCTGTGTCAGGTCATCACCAAACTGGAAAATGGGCTACACTGGTACACAGGGTGTAGACAGGAACAAGCACTGGAAACCAGAGGTGGGGTTCTGCAGTGCACATTTTGCACATTGCCACTTCCCTCTCACAGGCATGAAATCTATTCTTCATCACAGATAACTAATGAAACTCCTGAAAAGCAGGATCTGCAATCACCCTGCAACCACAGGGCTGCCACAATGACTGTGTGACACCCCCAGTGCAGAGCAGCCACACTCCTCCCACAGTGTGTGACACCACTGTCATCAGTCCTTGTTTTCCAGGCCTGGCTTCAACCCAGCCCCAGAGTGTACCTGTGATAAACAGCATGGGGAGCAGCCTCACAACCCTGCAGCCTGTCCAGTTCTCCCAGCAACTGCACCCCTCCTACCAGCAGCCCCTCATGCAGCAAGTCCAGAGCCACATCAACCAGAGCCCCTTCATGGCTACCATGGCCCAGATACAGAACCCTCACGGTAAGAGTATGAACTCGTTTGCTCAAGCAAACAAAAATAAAGCCTCTGTTCTAGGGCATTTGCTGGGAATTGGGCTTGCAGCACTCTGGTTTCCTCTTCTGCTATTGTTGCTCTAATTATGAAATTATTTTTCTATTGCATTCATCTCCCTGTCCCTCCACTCCCAGCCTTTCAGAGACAGACAGCAGGTCCCCTCGCACGAGGAGAACAGCTCAGCCAAACCAGCCTCATGCAAAGCTCCAGCACCCACATGATCTTGTTTTCTTTCCTGCACAGCTCTCTACGGCCCCAAGTCTGAAGGGGCCCAGTACACACACACAGGCCTCTTACCACAAACCATGGTGATAACAGACACAGCCAACCTCAGCGCCCTGACCAACCTGACACCAACTAAACAGGTAACAGCACATGCCTTTGTTCCCCACCTTAGAACTGCACCAGTCTGCAGGCAGCTCCTTGCTTGTCAAAGAGGTTTTGGGTGTGTGGTGTCTGTGTCATCCCAGCAGGACCATCTTTTTTATCTCCTCACTGGTGCCAGCTGCAGTACTGGAGGCACTAGAGAAAGCTCCTCACTGCATCATCAAGGAGGATTTAATTGTCCTTAGAAACAGCACCTGCTCAACTCTTCTCTCACACCTGTTAGAAGGGATGAAGAAGCCAGGCGCTGTTAACTCTCTTTTCTCTAGGCATTCACCCCTGACTCAGAGACTCACACCGAGTCTGGGATGCACACACCAGTGTCACAGGCACCAACAATCCACCTACAGAACCAGGACACCACCATCCAGCACCTTCAGCCAGGCCCACGCCTCTCCTCAAGCCCTGCGGGTAAGAGCAGCAGCCACTATTGTCTCAAACCACATACTGCCCAGTTTCTCTTCCCAACTCTGCAAAATCCAGTTAGGAAATGGTAACTGGGGCTCACAATTCCCTAAGAGGGCTATACCAGTGTCCTGAAGGGGTCAAAAAACTAGTACAAGGAAAAAATCCAGAGTACTTTCTGTGTAAGGCCAGACTGTGGGAACGGGCTCCTTCAGAAACTAGAGAGGAAAATAACCTTAAAAATACTGGCAAAATCAGTGTCCATGAGTATCCAGTCCTGTGGGCAGTTTTCAGGGCTGAAAAGTCCAAGGGTCCCTCATGAAGAGACTCCAGCTGGATCTCCCCAGTTCTAAGAGAACTAGGAGATCAGCTAGAATCCTCAAAACTGAACTCTCTGCTGCCCTCAGTGTTTTCAGGACCTATGTAAAAGCACACAAAACAGACAGACAAAAGGAGTTAAGCCCCTGTGCCAGGGGAGTGCAGCCATGGTGGAAATGTGGGGGTGTACACACAGGGTAAGGGGCCTGCAGTGGGAATCTGTATTGACCTTGTGCCTGTGCCTTTGGCAGTGTCCTCCAGCAGCCTGGTGCTGTACCAGAGCTCCGACCCCACCAACAGCCACAGCCAGCTGCTGCCATCCACCCACAACGTCATCGAGACCTTCATCTCCACACAGATGGCCTCCTCCACCCAGTGATCACCACAGCTGCCCCCAGGGTGACTCAGGTGCAACTCCAACCGTGTTTGCCATCACTGTCACCTCTGTCACCACGGGAAGGAAGGGCTGCTGTGCTGAGCCAGCCCCCACTGCCTCACACAGACCCCTGCTCAGCTGCCTCCAGGAGAGAAAATGTCTCAGGTTCCAGACAGAAGCCATGGGAAGATGATGCTGGCACTGCTAAAATCCACTGCCCTCCCCAGAAACAGCAAACCCAAACCCCCACAGGCCACCACAGAATGACCAGACATCCTTTTGTGGCTGCCCAAAAGGAAATCCCACCAAGCCAGGGACCTGACTGAAATATGGCAGCAGTGCCAGGGCCTGGATGGGGCTTTCATTCAGCTCAGCTTTCATCAAGCTGGGCCTGTCCAAACCTGCCAACACCAGACTATGCCATGAAGGAAAGAGCAAAGCTGAGCTGCCAAAGAAGGGACACCATCTTTAAAACACTCTCCTCCTTTGCTGAAGGAGCACCAATAATAACAATAACAGCACCTTGGAGGCAAGAGAGAGAACTTGGTTCCTGACTTTGCAAAGAAAATCACCAAGAAACACATTTGGGAATGGCTTGGCACAAACCTGTCAGCATGGGATCACTGACTACAAGCTACAAATCCTTAATTAACAACCAAAGTACTAAACATTCTCAGTTACAAATGACCTGCTCTAAAATCATGCTATCCCAGTGGAAATGGCTTGGTTATTTTTGATATAGCTCTGCTTTGTTTTAAATGCAGAAATTAAAGTTTAACAGCAGCAAGGAGATTCCAGTTCTCTGCATTAACCCTGTGGATTCTTATCTCATGTGACTTGCTCAATGATTTGGAGGATGGCATTCCCCACTGGTCCCTGACACTGCACAACACCTGGGAGGTTCCTAAGCTGCACAGAGTAGAGGTTCCTTCAGCTTTCTCTATAAACATGTCAGCTTGGATTCATTTTACAGAACGTGGCTCATTCTTGGCTTCCCTGTAGGCTCCATTCTGTAGCTCTTGATATGCAAATAATCACCCTGGGGTCTAAGAGTCTTGCCTGCACTAAGTGTAGGTTTTTAGTCCCAAGGATCCACTCACATAATTCCTCTTCTAATTATTCCTCTCTATTTACTCTCAACATTCACATTACTGATATGTCATTAACTGGGGCTTTCTTCATGTCTGGCTAACAGGTTTTTGGGACTGAAACTGAGCTCCTCTTTCTGTGAAATGGATAAAAAACCTTGAGACTAGAACATGCTCAAGACTCTTAAAAGGTTAAGACACAAGAGAAAATTAAAAAAGGAAAAGCCCAACAATGAACTTTTCAGTTATATCTGGAAATTACAAAATTGCAGATGTCCATTACAGGTTTCATTGATAGGAGCTTCCTCTAGACACCAGCAACCATTTCAGGCACTAGATTCTCTGAGGAGTTTTATCCTAGAATTGTTTCCTAATTTCCCATGTGCATCAGTTGCAAATATATACATAACTTCCAACTAGCACAAAAATAATCTTAAATCAAATCAAAAGGTAATGTTTAGGCCACTATGCATTTGAAAGCCCAGGTCCAAGCTGCAGTGCACTGCAGTTTTAACTGCCCCATAAGACAAGTAACTTGTGCTGGCACATTCAGTTAGATTACAAGCCAATTTTCTACTTGGCTTTTCCATTTTTGGATGCCAACTGTGTTTTCTTGACTGAAAACCAGCAAGGACCTTACAGCAGGTTTCCCACGCTCAAAGAGCAACAGTTCACTCTTTTGGTTTTTCTAATCTGGCTTTCTGGTCTCCTGATTAGGGCAAATAAGTTGGATCTACTGAAACCCAACAATCTTAAAAGAGAAGAAGAATATTTATTAGTAACAGGTAATTTCCTGAAAGACTGGAACTGAAGCATAAACAGACTAAGAGTCATACCAAAAACCACCAAACCTCACAGTATTTCAGAGACAAAAGTCATAATCAACCCAACTGAAACACGGTAATTTTTAAATTAGGCTTAAGTCCTTCCTGTAGCAATTTCATAGCAACTAAAGAGCCACTCTCAGCCATCTCTCTCTCTGCTGGGAGAATCCAAATACAGCAAGAAAGCCACTGTTGTACAAAACCTACCAAATTAAATAAGCCCAAGAGCGTAACAGAATTTAATAACAAGAGATGCTGTAAAAAACTATACATGAAAAAAAAATGTCAGTGGACACAACTGAACAGCAGGACCCATTTATACCAACCCTGAAATCAGCTCACTGCACACTGTTTATGTGCTGGGGCCCTGGAGAGCTGCAGATTGCAGAGGGATTAGTAACACTGCAGGTTTCAACAACAGATTGTTATGATGATCACAGGAAAAAAATAAGGGGGCCCTGGTATCTGAAAGGGTGCTTTTGGTAAATGAGTCTCCCACGGGCTGCAGTTATTCTTAGTAGGCGCCTACAAGAGGCAAAGAGAAAAGGGAGTTGATCACCTGTTGCCATGTAAACCAAATTCAATTCATCATGTACTTTCTCCAGGACACCAGATTTGGTTTCATGATGTGAAGACAGAGCAGGAGGGATGCAGCTGTGATTACACCCCTCTGTCACACAAGTCTGGCACAGGATTTCATCCTTTTAGGCTTGGCCTGCACGAGCAGCAGCACAGACAACTGCCCTGTGAGGAGAACAATGTTCCCTTCCTCAGGGGTGCCAACAGCACAGGAAGGCACTTAATTAGTCTCTCAGGCCACTGAGCTTTTAGAACAGAAGCTCTGCCAATTAATTTTCCCTCCTCTGCAGCAACTCTTGTTGTTAAGTTTTCTTTCATTTCCTTCATCCATCACAACTGCCTGCTGTTTGCAGAGTAAAACCATCATTCCAATTTTTTCTTCTTCTTTTTCTTCTTCACAGCTCCTGGCAGCACTGAGTTGTCTCCATGATTGCTGTTCTGTCTCTCCTGCTGTCCATTTGCAGACACCAACCGAGGCAAATCTTTGCAGATCTGGTCACACTCTACTGGGTCTATTCTTTTCTCTTGAATATTTTTCTCTCCCTTAATTTTCTTCTTCTTCTTCTTTTTCTTCTGGTTGTGCTCTACACAACCCTGACTCTGATCCTGGCTGGAATCCTGGGATAGTGCAGGAAAAGCACTTTGCTTCAGAATATCTGCAGCTGACACAGCAGCCTCCTGGAACCTTTGCCACTCCTGGTCACTGTCTGTGTCACTGGGAAGGGAACAAGAGGGAAGGAGGTTGTGTTACACTTTTGCCTTCAATTCACCCAAAACTCAGCCAGCAGAGTAATCTGAGATGAGAACACGTGATAAACACCCAGTGGCTCTGGGACTCCCACACCTACAGTTTGCATTTAACCAGATGGAAGGCCAGGATGCTCTTTACACACACAAGAAGGGGAAAGAAAATCTCCCACAAACATTTCTAGTTCCCCTAGCACTAAAATAAGAAACAAAATTCTGGTCTAGTCCAGTGTCAGAGTCATGAATACACACTTCTCCAGCTTTTCAGCTTCCTGTTCCCTCGTGGGATTTCCAGCTGCCTCTGAAATGTGGGATGCAACAGTCCTTGAGGAGCAAAGCAGCTGCCAACACCTCACCTGGAGCTCACTGGGCGCCTCCTCCTTGCTGCAGGGCAAGGCTCTGGTTTCCCACAGTCTCCAGGGACAGAGGAAGAGAAGAGGCGAAAACCTGAAGTATGGGAAGGAGAATTTTAGGCATGATATAAAACAGAGGTGAAAGCAATCAACAGCCATCTCCCTGGAAGCCTCACTACTGTTACTGTATTGCTACAGAGCTTGACAGCAATTATTTGGGACTGTGTGGGAGGACTTGGGGCACAAAGGTCACAGCTGCAAAGCAACAGCCCTCACAGGCACTAAGAAAAATCTTTTATTGCAAATGTTTATTAGTTGGGTGTACAACTAATTAGTTGGTGATGGACAGGATCCATCCCACTTGTCATCACTTAACCAACACAGTCACAATGGCTGAGACTGGAACTCACCATCATCTGCAGAGTCAGACTGTGGCACAGAGGTCTGAGAAGGTCCTGATGAGTCCTTCAAGACAGTTACAAAACTAAACAGAAAACTCCAGTCAGAACTTAGGTTTGTGCAAACTCAGTTCAAGTTGGATATTTCTGGGAAACAAGACTAGAGGGAGATGTTACACTTTTTTGTTAGTGAGGCTGCCTCAGGTCCCTGCTTTCAGGGCAGACCAGGCCTTCTCCTCTCAGCAACACATGCCACAGGAATGATTTAAAAGCAGCCTTTCTAAAGCCAGCTCTAAACACCAGGAATTCTAGTTCTCCAGGGTCATATTTTCACACTGAAAAGCCCAGTCAGAGGCACACTGCCAGCACAACCCTGAATTGGGCACTGCTTTAGACTGTAAGAACAAATGGAAGATTCCCATGCCACCCTTTAAATGACCAAAGTGCTAAGGCACCCAAATTCGACTTTTTTCCCTCCCCACAGCACATTCACCACGGAGGCAAATGGTCACAGGCAGTGCTGCACAGGATCTTTACCAGAGGGGCACAGCACACCAGCAAGGTTAGATCAGAGACCATTGGAAGCTTGCACTAAATACAGGAATGAAGGAGACAAGATGATGTTGAATTTCCTGGGTCCAGCACACAAAAAGCATCAGTGTAGCTGATCCATAGAACAAACCTTTTCAGCCCTGCCTGCCCATACCTGTCCAGCATTGCTCCCAGTTTCTTGGCCACGTGTGCTCTGAACTCTGCAGTTGTGTGGAGCTCGTTGTCGCCCTCCTGGCAGCCATTCACCTCCCGCCCGTTTAGAACAAGAACAAGGATTATTCTCTTTCAAGGCCAGAAACACCTGGTGCCCTCACCCAAACAGGAGACAAGAGACTGTGATATATGTAATTGCACTAATTCCTTTATGGGACACTTACAGAGTTGGGCAGTTTGTGACAGTGGAACTAAGGCTGTAAATGACAGCAGTAGTAAGTTTTCAACTTCAATATTTCCCTGCTGGTAGAGGGATGACAAATGTACTTATAGAAAAACTTACTATCTTTTTCAGATTTAACCATAATTTCAGATTATGGTTGGGCTAATTCCCAAAACAGAGCAGGCCCTTCCAGTGAGAATTATCACAAGGTATTAACTGTAAACAGCCCAAATATAACATACATTAATTTTTTCTTCAGTGAAACATGAAAGTCTGAAACCAGGAGAAAAAATACCTCAGGCTTGGCTGATCTTTGGGCTGTAACCGATCCTTCCTAAAGCCACCTGAAAAGGAAGAAGTAAAAGCACGTTTAAAAGACCTGCTCCAGGACCTCTTTAACGATCTCTTTAACCCCCTTCGGCCACATGTTATAGCATAAAGAATCGTGCCCGAAAGACAACTCTCGCCCACCTTTGGGGGGGGGAAACAGTTATGAGGGGAAAGGGAAACTTGGCTCCGGCCAGTCCTGCCAGGAAGGGGCTCCAGGCCGGGCTGGAGGCCGGGGATGACCTGGGTAGGACCCCGCCCGGCTCCCACACCGGCACCACGGCACAGAGGCCGGGGCAGGAGGCGCTGCGGAGGGACCCGGAGAGGAGAGGGAGAGGGAAAAAGGAGAGAGGAGAAAGGGCAGAGCAGAACACGCGGAGAGCAGAGCGCGGCTGTTCTCGGCCCTCACCGCCGCGCGGCTCCGCCCGTGGTGCAGCAGCCGCCGCCGCTTGTGCGCCGCACAGTCCAGGGGCAGCCTCCCGGAACCGCGCGCGGCCTCGCCGCCGCCGTCCGAGTCCGAGCTGCTGCCGGGTGTCCGATGTCCGGCCCAGCCGCCCCTGGCGCCGCATTTGCAGGCGCGCGCGCACGCCGGGAGCTTGCAGTCCAACAGCGGGGCATGCCGGGAGCTGCGTCCACAGCGGGCATGCCGGAACTGCAGTCCGCCCGCGTCTGCCGAGACCCTCCCACCCGAGACCCCCCGAGGGGCAGCGGGGGCACCCCCACGGACAGACCCGGGCCGGGTTTGTGCCGCTGGGAGCAGCGGTGCCCGCGCGCGGGAAATTGCTGGGGGTGAACACGGCCGGTCTCCATGTCCATCCCTGGCTGAGCAGCCTCCCCTCCCACGAGCCCCACAGGAAAATATCTCGGTGTTCCTCAGCATCAACAGCTCACACGGAGCAGGAGTGTTAAACACACCAACCACACCAGAAACCCCTTAGTTAAATAGCAGTATCGCTTTGGTATTTGTGGAGAAAGAGGGAATACCTGACACTAAAGGATGTGGAAGGAGTCAGCGACTGTAATAAGATCCTCAGCACTTTACCACTGTTACCAGACCATTACTTATTCCCATTATAACACCAAAATCAACCATTTTTCGCTTTTCATACTGTAATTGTCTTAACATACACAGTGACCAGTCCGAGCTGATCTGAATTTCATAAGCTCATCCCTGTTTTAATCAGCATCAGGAGGATATGGCCCCTACCTTTGGGGTCTCGTTAAATTCTTCTTAATCAGCTACTACACTGAGATGCCAAATTTTTGTTTGAATGCAGAAGCTGCACCAAATCCTGCTGCTTTCCTAACTGGTTGAAAATGAAGAGTGCTTTGCTAGAGAGATTTTCACAGACAGCAAATACACTGCTCCTGAGGGTGGAACTGCCTTGTGTGCTCCCCATGCCACCACCACTGCCACATTCACACACGACATCTTCACCTCAACTAGAAATTTTCCAGTGTGATACATCAACACATTTGGCAACTCCAGGTGGTCTTCTGGGAGACCCCTTTTCCATGGGTTTTGCCAGGGTTCTGTGCTGCTGAGAGCAGCAGGAAGGCTCAGTAGAGCTGTGTTTTTATACTGCTGGACACTCCTGGCTTGCATGTTCCACCCTTCACACTAGAGATGTGCAGTCTCAGCCCACGTGTGAGACAGGCCTCTGACAATATCCTTGGGCTCTTTCCAATAGTCTCCCTTGGCACTAACCCCCCTTAATTTAACTATTCCTTCATAAGGCTCATCTTCAGCTGGTTTAAGATTAACCCATTCTCCACTGTGTAAAACAAGCACTGTTTTACACAACAAGGCTGTTTTGCACCTTGGAGTCCTCAGGACTGGTGAGGTGTCCTCAGAGCTGGGACAGAGCCTTCAGA